ATTCAATCACCAACATGACCAATTGGTTTCCTTTTGTACTACTATCCACAGTAAAAGAGACTTTCACTGGGCTTTTTCAATGAACTCAAAATCATTTATTTATTATAAAACAAAGCTCACTCTTAAAAACAAGTGGTAAAACTGGTTAACATTTGAGCTATAATCCAGATTTAGAAATATATCACTTTTTAATTCCAAAATACACACACAAAAACAACAAAGATTCTGCAGAGTAGATACTTTGAAAACAGCAAAAGAAGACATCCTGATTGGTCAATGGTTTAAAAACAAAGACCAAAATTTGATGAATTCTAACATGAATTCTTCTTGGTGGAATTGGGTTTCAGAAAGATCTTCCAAACAAAGATTCAGTTTGGTTGGAAATTAAGTCAGGTCCAGGTCTTTCAGTGTTTACAAGGTTATTAAAATATTGAAACGTGGAAGAGTTATCAGGTTCTGCAGTATTTCAATCAGAAGAACGGGAGACAGACTTGCAGTGTTACTCCCAGCTTTGGAAGTTTTGCTTATTTGACTCCCTATATTTGTGAAACATAAACCAAGCCCAGAAAGAGTTACCAGGCAGCCATCAGCACAAGGACCCCATAGACTATCCTAAAAGCAAGGTTTCTGAACAATTGAGGGCAGTAGACCCCATCTCTTATCTCCCTAAAAATCTTGCTTGGCTATTTTTCCAAAGTCATTGACTTTCTGTAATCAACAGGTGGATCACAATACACATTAAATGTGTGACTTATTTTTCAAGAAACTACACTGGTTGCATTCAAAACCTTGAGAAAAGCCCTTTTTTTTAATTAGCAAAGTGACCAAACAGTTCAGTACCTTTCAGTTCTCCACATGATCTATATAATCCATGGGTATTCCTAACATGGTCTGTGTCTGAACCATTTTAGAAGCAGTGTCCTTGCAAACTGCAAAATTAGCTAAGTGGAGATGGTTTTAAACTAAAAAGTGAGGCATGGATCAAATGTGGAAAGATGTAGTGTACTAAAGAGTAGAGACAGGGTAAGAGAGGTAAATAATAATGTGGGAAGTGAGGTTCAGACAATGGAAGGGAGAAATAAAAATTTAGGAATGCCCTAATAGTTAAGACTAGATGTCACAAAGATAATGAAAAGACATAAATACAGGTTCGGTGTCTGAATGTGTATAGCAGTCATAATAAAGTAAGGGAATTGATGGGTATACATTGAAGTGAATAATATGATCTCACAACCAATAAGGGGAAATGACTGCAAGGTAACAAGGATTGGGTCCTGAATATTCTGACTGTATTACTCAACAACAATAGAAGGTTAGTTAAAGGTTAAGGGATAGTATTGTTAATCAAGGATAATGTTACTCCAATTGTTAGAAATGACCTTGGTTCAGGAGATCAGAATGTAGAAACGGTTTGGTTGGAGATGACAAATAGTAGGCAAAATACGTCACTAGTGGGAGACATCAACAGACCTCTAACAGTACAGAATGAAGTATGTAAGAAGAACGGTCGCTCACTTGTGAGTAAGGTATTACAATAATCATCAGTGACTTCAATGTGCATATAAACTAAATCACAAGGGCAGATAAGCCACAATCTTATGGAATGGCAGAGCAGGCTTGAGGGTCAAATGGCCTACTTCTGCATTTTTATTGTAATGAAGGCATAAGAGTCTTTTGATAACCATGAAACCATTGCTGATTGTCGGGAAAACTCATCTGGTTCACTAATGTCCTTTATACAAAAAAATCTGCCATCCTTATTGGGTCTGGCCTGTCTGCGACTCCAGACCCACAGCAATGTGGTTGACTCTTAACTGCTGCGAGGGCAATTAGGGATAAGCAATAAATGCCGGACTAGTTAGTGACTCCTACGTCCTGTGAATTAATGAAAAAAATTATGTAAGTTTAAAATTTATATATTGGGTTGAATGTAATAAAATTAAGTAATTATTTCTTTTTAACACAAATGTTTTAAAAATGCTTACAGCTAAATTGATATCCTTTTCTAGAGATCCTTAATGTTGTCATTCCAAGACACTCCTGCATTAATTCTTAAACATGTCTAAATAATAGTATGAGACAAGACGTTCAGTAATGTGTTAATGTGCTTGGTAAGACCACCAAACCCATAAATCTTCATAATTAACAAAACAACATATTTCTTAAATAGAACAAACGGTGGCAATTAGTTCAGGAGGTGGGTTAATTAGAACTTTTGTTCAGACTGTCATATATGTGAATGAAAGAAACAGGTTTAGTTTTGCCACACTTGGTAATAGCTGGGGAATTAGAGTGATGGAGAGAGTGAGACTGTATAGACAGTCATGAGTTTTCAGACATGAGAAGGGGATTTTGTTTTATATTGAGGAAGCAGCTGTGTAAGTTAATAGCCATTTGCTCTATCCAGGGTGTTCCAATGAGAATAATTCCGAATGTTTAATGCACTAACCATGTAGAACAGTGCGTTGAACAGCCCCAGGCTCTGATTTCTCAATATCACCACTAGTCAGGGATAGTGTTTGCACCTTGGATGCAATCATTCCAGGATTAGTATTAGTACCAGAATTCATCAAATTCTTTTTTTTTTGCTTTCAGACCATTCACCAGTAAGAATGTTTTCCTTTTGCCCTTTTCAAAATAGCATGCAACATTGAGCAATCTTACAACAACCCAAGTGCAAATTATGCCTAAAAATGTGGTTTATGAAGTGCCTTTCACTGATACATATTTGAACGTCACTGTCTACAAATCCCTTCATGAGCCAATGCATTGAATAGTATGTTAAACAGTATTTTTTTCTTTTAACTTCTCTTTGGTGTAGTCAAGTGGTGCAGTATCAATACCATGGCTAAAAGTGGATATATATTTCAAAAAAATTAACTGTGGTTATTAATCAAATTATCCAGTCCACAACTTGGGAGGAATCCAATTTTAAGCAACTAAAAATGACCTGTACAAATCTATTTCATTTAAAGTTATTTTGGTGTGCAGTAGTTAGTTTATAAACATACAGATTAACATGTGAACATACTAATTAAGAGCAAGTGTAGGCCACTCAACCCGTCAAGCCTGTTCTGCCATTCAGGAAAATCATTTCTTATTTGATTACATTCCTGCCTATCCCCAACAACCTTTCAACTCCTTTCTTTCAAGGATCTATCTACCTCTGCTATAAAAATACTCAGTGACTCTCTGCTACCCCCGTCTTTTGAGGAAGAGTTGCAAAGACTCATGACCTCTATGAAACAACCTCCTCGTCTCTGTTTTAAATGGGTAATCCCTAATTTTCATACAGTGACGTCTAGTACTAGATTCTCCCATAAGAGAAAACATATTTTTCATGTCTACCCTTTAGATCTGCTAACTTTCAATCAAATCATGCCTGTTCTTCTAAACTCCAATGGATACAAGCCTAGCCTGTCTAAGATGTCCTCATTCATAGTTTCACAGTTTTCTTTTAAATTGTATTCAAAACCTGTTAAAATGCGTCAGTTAGGCCTGAATTTTCTTCTTTACAAAGTACCCACCATCTTCTGATTGACATTGGGCTCAAACCTTTCAAATCCCCAGTGCTGCTCTGAGATTTCTGGCCAGGTCTTCCAAGCCTGGCATCTACAGAAACAGAGAGAGAAGAGTCCCACCAGCAGCCTCATTCCAGTGAAGTCACATCAGGAAGTAGACTGAACATCCCCCTTTCTTTTACAGCACTGGTTGAGTGAATGAACGGCCAGAGTGGTAGGTAAGTGGGCTCATCAGGTCACATTGAGAGAGGTGGTCAGCTTTGGGGCTGTCGGTCAGGTTGCAGGGGTAGTTGGGTGCTAGTTAAGTCTGTTTGAGCAGCTAGAGTTGGGTGGTTGGAGGGATTGTCAATTCAAGTTGGGAAGGGTAGTTAGGTGATGAAGGGATTCTCAGGGAATGGTTGGGGGAGATCAAGAGGGTAAGTGGGAGTCAGGAAGGGTAGTCTGATTTGGTCAGGGAGAAATCAGTTTACGGGGAGCCGACAGTTCATGACGGTCCACGTGGTGGGACGGGGTGGGTTTCAGGAGAGAGTCAAAGATGTTGCTGTGAATGAATCGGGGGGTGTCAGTTACCGAGGGGTTAGATTGGGATTTTTCTGTCCAATATTTCTTGGATCACTTATGCAGGTAAGTATGTCAGAACTGTCTAACGTCAAAGTCCTTAACTCAAAGTCAGACTTCTGTGGAGGAGAGTGGGAGAATTGCCAGGGAGAATTTTCAGGTAATTCTGAATAAGTCAGTGCATCGGTATTTCCACAGAGCACTGACATATATCTTGTGTCTTAGAATTCAAAGATCTGTGTCAGTTTTGTAACAAACAAAGAGAATGCTGCAGAAACTCAGCAGGTCTGGCAGCATTCATGGCAAGAAACAGAGTTAACATTTCAAGTCCAGTGTACTACTTCTTCAGAGACAATGCTGTGTCAGTTTTGTATCAGCTTAATCTTTAGAGACTCTACAAAGATTCAGAAGCAGGCATAACTAGCACAGACTCCCTGTGGTAAGTAATTCTTCCTGGGTCATTGAGAATTTTATGGAAAAAAATGGTTTCTATTGTGTTGTTTATCTTTGAACTAAAATTACAGAAACCCAAATGTCATTTGCACTTAGAATCCCATAACATGTCCACTGATTTCAGACAAATTGTATAGAAAAAGAATGACAGCATAACAGAAAACCATGGCCTAGATTGCTCTGTTAATATTGTAAACTTCTTTGCCGAATCTCCTCCATCACCAATTTATTGACACCTTAATCTTTGAAGGTTAAATCTCTGTGAGTTAACACCACTCATTGTGCTTGCTGAAAAGAATGATAAACCTTTTTAAATGGAATAATTCTCAACCATTACTTTTCCCCTGAAACCAGGAAGCATATGGGTGTGACTGATTAATGTATGCATTGCATTAACAGATGGAATGATTGTGTTTCATTGGGTTTCCCTCTTTAATCAGGGTTTATTTTTTCTTTTCTGTCTGCAAGGTCAAGAAGAATGGGTTTCATCTCGGCCAAGTTTAAAGGCCCCAATCCTGAGGTCAAGAGGGACCTACAGAGAACACCCCTATGGTAGATATTGAAGGCAGCCCTTGTTGCACAATGACTACATGCGTGCCCTATGGTCAGCTTATAAACAACTACAAGACAAGTAATAGTTCATTTATTTTCTTGCCTAAGGATATCTTCTCTCGGGTAACCCTTCTGCACCCTCCTTCTATTTCCTGAAACTTTGACGAAATGTTGGCTTTACTTTATGACAGGAACTTTGTAGAATGGACAAGTTAGTCCCCAGAACATGCAAAAGGGAAGCTGCTCCTTTTAATTGTTTTCTTTTATTGCTCTATGTGTAGAAATATGTTCAACTAGCATGAACTGGTGATAAGTTTAACATTTCCAAACCCACTTGGTAAAGGTTGACGCGTATTTAGGGACAATGGAAGACTGTAATAAAACTTTTTTTTGAAATAGGTAATAAACAAGTTGTAGATAAATTGTTTTAAATTGTTTTCTTTTAATATTTGTCACTTTAAGATGTTCAATATTTAATTTGTAAAATTTAATTTATAAAATGATGTTTGATGGAATTGAAAACAATCGGCTATGTATGTAGCTAACTTTATTAAAGTGATCTGTTCGGTGTTTAAACTGTATGTGGTGATAAAATTGCATAAAGTTCCATGTGTAAGCTTAACTAAATAGGTGACTTTAATTTGTCAAATACATTTGCCATAATTTGTCAATAAAGCTGAACTCTTTTGTAAAGAACTAAAATTTGGAATTATTTTATTCTAGTTCTTAAATGACTGCCTCTTTTGTTCTGCAGGAAATGCCTAAACTGTTTGCTACAGTATAAACCAAAATGAACCCTTAGCTGTTTTTTTTTAAGAACTTGACACTGTGTAAGAATATAAAAGTTGTATTAACACGCAGCAGATGTAAATAACCTAAAAAGAAGTTAACATGCTAACCTGTTTACGTCACTTATCGTTCGTAAACTCTAATGCAGAAGATGTTACAGCAATAAATGGACATTAAACTATCCTATAAGCTTGATCTTACTAAACGCAAAACTCTTAACTGACTTGTTTGTGTTAGCATGTCTCTCATGACAATGTAATGGAGTTAAATGAGGTAAGATCTCTTCCCACTATAGACTGTCTAAATGCCTTGGACCGATGAATTCTCCTGCACATTAAATATCCCATCAACATGTGCGTATTACATGGAAACCCATTCTTGTCTTCACTCAAAACGAGGGCATTTAATGTATTATTGAGATGATAATAATTGTCTTTGCCAGGAAATCATCAGTGTCACTGCCCAATTGTTTGACATTCACCTTTAAAAGAACTTTATTTGTAATTTCCAGTGCTAATGTATCTGAATTTCACCGCTCGTGAAAGCAATTTAGAGGGGCTGATATTTCTTGTTGAGGCAATCAGACATGATGGCTGATTATTAAGAGAATATATCGCAGGACTCAAAGGATGACTAAACGTTAAACACCCTGCAAATACAAGGTAAAACTAATAGTAACTCTATAATTTTGCTGCATATACAACATTTATTTTAAATATTTACAAATGACGCAGTTACTGTCAGTTAAAAAAGTAAACCTTCCAAAATGTGATAAACATAGGGAATCTAGGTCATTAAAATGGCTAATTAGCAATAAATAATTACCACATCATTGTTTCTTTTCAATATATAACCCTGCTTCCGATAAACAAGACTAAAATGACCAATAATTGTAATACAGCTCTTGCTAAAACCTCAATTGTGTAAACATCATCGTAAAAGGGAAAGTGGAAAGCAATTAAGGGAGCAATCATTTTTAGGCTAATCAAAAGCACTATTGATCCTGATATACTTTAGTTCTTGTTAAATATTGAAACAATGGCATTTTTGTCCTTGCGAGTGGTTTACTTTTTTCATAGTAACGAGAATGCAAACAGATTATACAATTTGTGCAAACGAGTGTCTTGCAGCTGGAGTTGCATGCTAAGATGTACTTAGTAGCATATTTAATTTATTTGCATTAAGGGGTGACATTTCTGTTTTACCAGTCTATAACATTTAAAGTGCAGACATGTTTTCCCCCATTGCTGAAACTTATTTCTCTGTTTGTTCCTTTCCAGGTGTCTGGTAGTAGGTTAACCAGGAAAAAAAAGCAGGACAAGCATTCAGGCTCAGGTAGGCAATGCAATACTGAGTGTAGGGTTAAAAATATCTCCAGCGTCATCAGTCAGATCACATTTTTATCTTGTATCATTTAGAATTTGTAAGCTTCTTTTACGTAATCAGTTCAAGAATTGCGAGTGTTAATTTAGCCAAATTAACAGAATTATTTTAATCAATTGTATTTTTGATTTTCTTAATCTTCTGAATTGCATAGTCAGAAAGAACAAAGCAAATATTTTATCCAGTGGTGATTTTATTCCATGTTTGTGGGCTACTTAACAGATTTGATGTACAGTCACATTGTCAGACCTAAAATCCAATTGTGTTCTTTTAATTTTAAAAGGTACTATTCCAGCCCCAGGGTTAACCACAGCAGGGCATGTAGTGCTGGGAGGTGGTAGGATTAATTTTGGCAAAGGCCCAGAAATAGACCATTCTGTTCCTCCAGTCCATACCAAAGGTTTTCTTTAGATATAAATCACACCTGAAATAAATGTGAAGTTAGGTTTCACGTTTGTGCTCAAATTAATTTGCATTATCACAAACATGGAATGTTAATGGACTAACGCAAACAGGTAGCTGGATAGAGCAGAATTACTTCTCTTTTTCCATTCTATTGAACGTTATCACTTGACATATTTAAAAGTGGGCAGTGTGCTGCAGTTTGATTCAAATGGCTGGAAATCAGTTTGTCACCAAAAAAATAATCATTTTTAATCATGTTCATGCCTCCCCTAGTGAGAATTCTGATTTTTAAATCAGTGAAAATTACTGTTCTTAGAAAAAACTGAATTGCATATGGTAGTATGTTATTGTCAGAAAAATGAAATATCTTGTGATAAGAAAATGCCTTTTAAATTTACTTAGAATGTCTAAGAAACCAACTGCAGTATGAAGAGCTTTCCTGAACCAGTACAACTGGCAGAATGTCACAATTTGGATCTGGGCACATGGCCAGTTTGGTAGGTGACTCCTGTGCTGGTGAACTATAATTTGGACCAGTGTAATAGATGGAAGAAAGCCCTAATACTTTACTCTCACTGCTGATTAATATTTTGCACACAGATTACACTAAAATAACTCTAATGGATGTTGTGTACCTCAACCTCTGTTCCTCAGTGGCCATGTTTAATCTTACACAACTTCAAGGTTTGCGCAATCTCTCATGCAAATCAGCTGATGAAGATTCCATGGTATTCCATTCAATTGCAGCCAACTTGTGAAAGCCTGTTCTGTTCCTTCACATCGCACATGGTTTGTGGTCTATATTTTCTCTTAACTATGGCTTTTGTACAGTCTTGATCTTCTTTGAAATCATTCTCATTATGTGTGGTAAAGGGCAAAAGTATGATCATCTGTTGGATTTGCTTCAAAGCACAGACATTATTACCTCAGTTCACCAAAATTTACTTTTGTGTCATAGATGTGTGCTGCTTTGTTCTTTATATGCCTTGCAGGATGACTGAGGAACATGATTCAACTGTCATAGCAAAGCAGTTCAGGCATGAAATGAATCAAGTTATTTCCAATGGTGGCCTGGCCCATTCTAATTGATTATGGGAATTGTTGGCCTTGGTGTGGTCAAGAATAAAGACTAGACTCAATTCAAAATGAATGGATACATCATCATTATTTCCTGTGGCTGTACTACTGGCTGAAGAGAGTACAACACTGTGGATTGTTAAAAGAACACACCAATAAATCGGGCAATTTTCTTAGATTCCATATCATTCCCAATTTGCATGCAGACTAATTTGCTGATGACTCTCCATTTGTTGATGCTCAAATTTATCATGTTCTTTTTGGGGCAAAGTTTCCCGGACCAAATTACTGAACTGATTGATGGTGAAAGAATCTCTTCAGAGAAGTTCAACAGTATTGGGTAGATATAGATACTCCAAATGTGCACTAATCTCAGGAAAGAGATATCTTCATCTGCTTTAAAGGGAGTCAGGTGGGATTCTGTGGAATTGGTCAAAGTTTGAGCTTTCATTGCAATTAAAGAAATATCACATAAAATACAAACTAGAGCCAGGGCTTGGCTGTTCTATCTCCCAAGCCTGCTCTGCCATTTGATAAGATCATAGCAATTCTGTTTGTGGCTTCTACTTTTCTATCTATACCCCCAAAACCCTTTGACTCCCTTATCAATTAAGTATCTTTCTAACTCAGCCTTAATATACTCAACAACCTAGTCTCCACTGCCCTCTGGGATGACAACTCCGCATACCAATGGCTTTCTGAGAGAAAAATTTCCCCTCATCTCCGTTTTAAATGGGATACCCTTTATATTTAAATGGATGTCTGAGTTCTAGTCTCTCTCATAAAGGGCAACAAGCAGTAAGCATCCAGCATGTCAATGAACTTACAGGTTGAACTTACAGCACCGTTTGACTTTGATCCCCGCAATCATAACCTTTTTCCACATTTTGTTTGCTGGTTCAGTTTGTACTCGTTTGATTATTCCATCATTTTGTATTCAGTTGGCTGCAGTCCAGCCATTCTCATTACCACTTGCTATGAGCTACAGAGGCTTTATGTGGCTTCACTATGAACTCTGAGCTTTTCAGATTATTCATCACCTGAAATAAAACCTTGAGTCCTACTCAATTTTTAGTCCCCCATAGCCTCTCCCATAGTGATCAGAACCATTGTCTTTGTTGTCCTGCAAACTTGTAAGGCCAAATACCTCCCTTATTTTGCAGAACGAAGTCCACTTACTGAGAAGGTGATGGCCTAGTGGTATTATTGCTGGACTGTTAATCCTGAAATCCCGGTAAAGGTCTGGGGACCCAGGTCCAAAACTCACTACAGCACATGGTGAAATTTGAATTCAACAAAAAACAATCTGGAATTTAGAGTCAGAGAGTGGTACAGCATGGAAACAGACCCTTCAGTCCAACTCATCCATGCTGACCAGATGACCTATACAAATCTAGTACCATTTGCCAGCATTGGCCCATATCGCTCTAAACCTTCCTATTCATGCATTCATCCAGATGCCTTTTGCATGTTCTAATTGTGCCACCCTCCACCACTTTGTCTGGCAGCCCATTCCATATATGCACCACCCTCTGCATGAAAAGTTGCCCCCTAGGTCCCTTTTAAATCTTTCCGCTGTCATCTGAAACCTATGTCCTCTAGTTTTGGATTCCCCCACCCCAGGCTATTCACCCTATCCGTGCCTTCATGATTCTGTAAACCTCTATAAGGTCACTCCTCAGCCTCCGGTGC